TCCTGCTGGCCACACTATTTCTGATACAGGCCAGGATGCCCTTGGCCTTCTTGGCCGCCTGGGCACACTGACGGCTCACGTTCAGCCGGCATACCTCCAGGCATTCGTGTTGCCCGCCCTGAGGGACAGGTGGCTGCTGTGGCTGCTGCGGGGCTTTCTGTAGCGACGCAGACACACGCTGAAAACGTGGTAGCAGCCCGGCACCACCACACAGCACAGTGCCGTTAGACCTGGCAAACGGCCGGGCTGCTTGTCCCCATTAAGGCAGAGGTGCGCACGCCGCGCTTACCCCGAGCTGAACGCCTGTGAGGGCACTCGGACGGCGTGGCCCCATCAGCCCTACCTCCCCGCAGGGCCAGTGCCCGGCTGCTCGCTGCCAGCCCCGCTCTCCCCGCTCGCTTCAGAGGGGCATGGGAAGCAGTTTGGTAACTGCCAGCGCTCACTCAAGGTTGCCGACACCTCTTTGTTCTGCCACCTCCCAAAACATTCTGTACAAGGCAAAATCCCATCTACAAATACAGATGGGATTGTATTGGCTCTTGGCTGCCCTGCAGTGAACTGCGCAAAGCACCCCAGGGCTGGAAGCCCACGCTAGCTAACAGAGGACAGGGTTTAAAAACAAGGACTCCCAATTCCCACCCTGATTTTGAAGGGCCCAAGGAAGGTCACGGAGCCCTCGACAGCAATGCTCAGCAGCTCGCTTCAGCTCCCAGATCGGAGGCAGCGGCTCAGCCCCCCGGGGGGCAAGAGCAGATTAATTACCATCTGCAAGGGTGTGCACCAGCCAAGAAACTGCTAACTACCCACAGCCGCTGGCAGTGGCTCCGCACCCCCAAGGTGGGAGAGCGCCTGGAAACACGCAGCCTGTTATTGTTTGTTCTCATTCCCCTGCCTTGGAAAACTATCTGCTGCTAACTCAGGATGGCTCAGGAGACAGATAAGCCAAAAGACAACCTTAATAAAGAAGAGAACAAAACGAGAAACTCTCTGAGTTACAGCCCGGAGCTATCGACCCAGCGATATGCAAACAGAGCTTGCAGCAAACCACATCCCATCCGAGCAGTGCAGGCGCCAGGGCAGCATGGTGCAGGGTGCTGCAGCAGCGGTGCCACGGGGCAAGGACAGCGAACCTGGACTGACGGGGCGGCAGGCAGGGCAGCACCATCCCAGCCGCAGGCGTTCCTGCTCACTGCCACTCCTCTCCAGGGGACGGCAGCGCCCCAAAGCCCCCAGGACCATGCTGCCCCGCCGGCCTGCACCCGCCCCGGGAACAGCCGGTAGCCTTGGCCGTTCTGACTACGTCAAAACGCTCATTCAGCACTCACCATTCCTGCTCTCCCTGCATTTTCAGCATGCCGTCTCAGTGCTGTTTGTGATGGGAGTGAGCCCCAGTCTGGCTGCACTGTGCCGGAGGGGACCAGTGCCGGCACAGCACCTCAGCACGGGCAGCAGCCGAGCTGCCCTGGGGCCCTGCACAGCCCCCCCACTCTCACCTTCTCACGTGGGGCAGTAAATCACTCATCCGCCTGCAGCTTTGTGCCCTCGTGAGGGAATGACAGCCATTCCTTGCCCAGCCAGGCCCCAGGACAGATGGGTACAAGCTGTATTTACTGCATGGGTTTAGGAAGGAGGGCAGGTCAGGTCCTGTTCCCTGGCCTGAGGACAAATGTCTCCACTCTGGTGGGCAGAGCCCAGCCTTCCCCCCTCCCCGGCACAGCCTCCCAGTGCTGCCACAGCAGCTGGGATGTGGGATGTGCCGGCAGGCAGCAGCTGGAGGGCTGGCCACTGGGAGAAGAATGGTCCAGCGGGTGGAAATGCACCGGTGGGGTCGGGGCACAGCCCCGCCGCCACCCCCATGGAGAGCCAGGACTCACCATTCTGAGTCAGCTTCGTGGAACAGACGAGCGTCGAGATTTGGAAGCTGTCCCGGGCTGACATGGTTAAGCCCGACGCGCCCCCGCTCACACGGAAGGAGGAGCCGGAGAGGAGCTTCGGCTCCGACAGGTTCCTCACGGAGGGCAGGGTCAGGTACGCATCGGCGTCCTCCAGCTTCCTGCTGTCGCCCTGCAAGGCAGAGCACGGCTCACACCAGGCAGCGCAGCCCCACGGGAGCCCCATGGGACAGGGCTGGCCCATGGGCTCGGTTTTGACCCCACTTCAAGTCCCCTGTCCGGGGGACTTTGCCGTGCAGAATGGGGCAGAGCAAGGAGGTCAGCAGAGCCACGCACAGGTAACAGTGGCTCCCACCTAATGGCATCCTTATGGTTTGGTAGCCTCTGGCTCGTGGGAGTCACTGGGATGTGGGACCTGGCCCAGGGGAATCACTGCCTGCAGTGCAGAGCCCTGTGCAGGCAGTGCAGCGGGCTTGCCTGACATTAATTTCAACAGAGCATCCAACAAAGCTGTTCCCTGCGGGGCTCCGTGGGGACCTGTGCTCAGCTGGGACAACCGACCGGGAGAGACGCCAAATCCTGGCCAGTGCCACTCAGGGAAGACACAAGAACTGGCAGGAGGAAAAGCACGTGGGGAGGCCAGTGACATGGAGGAGCCTGGGGCCAGGCAGCAGCGTGCCGGGAATGAAACATGTGCTGGAGCACCGCTGCGGGGATGGACACGCAGCAGGACACTGACCAGGCAGCTGGCGTGGTCCCGCAGCGTCACCGTCGTCAGCCCAACGGGATGTTTCCTGCCCGCGTGGGCACGCTGGGGTCTCTCTCCACAGTGGCAAAACAGCCTATTTCTTTGTGTCCCTACTCTTAAGTTGAAGAATTAAGACGACGTTACATCTAGGACTCACTGGGGTGACTTTCGAAATGATCCTTCTGTGCTCGTTTGCAAGACTGGGACATGGTGGATGTCCAGAGACAGCCGGACACATGACAATGGACCATGGCCGTGCTGCCCCGAGCTCACCAGCGCTTGCTTATGGCTTGGCATTTATCCTTCCTTGCCTGCAACCTTGCACAATAAAATTCTTCCTGCTGAAGATCACAAAATTGTTTGTTGTTGGCTTTTCTCTCCACTGAGCGTACCCACAGTGGCCAGCTGACTTGCAGGAGGCACTGCACTTCTTCTGAGGGCAACTAAGCCCTCATGGGGTAAACTGGCTTAATTTCAGATGTTTCTCGACCAGCATGAGATCAAGAGGTCCGAGGAGCTAAAAGCCTATAATTCACATTCCTCTGGCAAACAAAAATAGAAAGATGAAATAGCTTCTGACTCCCAGAATCAAGCCCCGGTGTTTGCTGGGAAGAGCAGGAGTCAGCTGGGGAGAAGACGAAGCAGAGCATGCCGGCTTTCACTTGCTCAGGGGTGGAGGATGCTGGTGAACGCGATGGTTCAGCGAGGGCAGCAACAATCCTTTAAGGAGAAAATGCATCCAGGAGAGAGGTGCGCAGGGTTTGATCTCGCTGCCCCAGCTGGCACCGGCAAGTCCCGAAGGCGCTCGGTGCTCCCCCCACTGTGCGGGCTGCGGAGGGGACAGTCCCCCGGAGAGCCAGGGACAGTGTCTGCAGCTCTGCAGGCCATGGCAGCATTTAAAGAATTTGAGTGTTTTGCCCAAAAAGAACAGGGAGGAGGGACACGATAACAATTTCAAACTGTTATAGGAAGAAAATTAACTCTATCCCAGCCAAAACCAGGACAGCATAGGAGCTGCTGGGGAAGAAAAGCGTGGCTCTGTCCCCGTCCCCAGGCTGGGCAGGGCAGGGCACGTGGGCTCGCTGCAGGAGCGAGGTCGGGCATCACAAGAGCGGTAGAAACGGCAGCGCGGCGCTGGGACAGACCGGCCCGGTGGGTGGGGGCAAGCCCATCCCGTCAGCAGAAGCATGCCGGAGCAAGGACGGCTCGGGGAGGACTGGTCCTGCCTCGGGGCGGGAGGTGGATGGGGCAGCCCCGGTGTGGATGGACAGATGGACAGCAGAGACCTGCAGGGGCACGTGGGTGGCTCAGCCCCCAGCGGGGCAGCTATGTGAGCGCGGGGCAGGAGCGCACCGGGGTGACACCGCATCAGACCCACAGCACATTGGGATGACGGTGAGCACAGCAGTGTGCTGGCAGCAGCCCATCTGCTGGGGCACCTCTGCTGCCGGGACATTATGTAGCTGCAGAAGCAGTATCGGGGTGCTAAGAGGGAAACACAGTGATGAAGAGGAGGAACTCCTCCATCAAGCTCATGGGAAGCATTAGCTGAGGCCAGCTGCACAGCTGCCACAGCAGGCAGGAGACAGATCTGCTCATCCCAAAAAGATGCGGGACTTGGGAAGGGAGATGGGTCTACATCGAGTAACTGGTCACATCTCCAGGAACAGCAGGGAAAATTAGAGAAAACTTCAGTTAAATACCAGAGCAGCAAAGGGGCTGAGGTGGGAAGGTCACCTCCTGGGGAGGCTGGAGCTTCATTGCCGGTGAGGAACGCTAAAGCAGTGCCAACACACAGAGGAAGAGTCCTGAGCTCACCCTTGCAGCAGGGACCAGCTCGTACCTCCCAGTCCCCTGGCTGCAGCCAGCCACAGTGTGGGAGAGGGGGACACCAAGGCAAGGGGGGAGCAGCACGTTCATGGGGTCTTTCACGCTCTGGCGTCAGAGCTGACTGCATTTTTTCCAAATGAACAGTGAATTTTCCCTCCTTGCGTTCTCTCTCTGCTCTCTCAGAAGAAAAACCAAGCAGTTTTAGGCAGACAAACCCTGGTGAAATCAGGTAAAGTGCAGCAAGTATCTTCATGGGGACGTTCCCTCCCAAGTCAGATAAATTTAAGTTCCCATTTTCTAAACAAAACTTGTCATTCGCAAAGGAACAGCGTGGAGATTAGAGACGCCATGTGCAGGGAGCCGTGGGCAGGAGCCCACCATCAAGGACAGAAAGGACGGGAGGGAGGGACTGGAAACCCTCCAGGGGACTTTGGGTACGTGCACCAGTGCGGCAGCTCCGGCAGGGACTGGGACCCCAGCCCTGTGCACCAGGAGAGCTGCCATCCTGCAGCCTCCCCGCTTCGAGGGGGGTTTGCCTGGCCCCCCCATACCTTGTACAGAACCAGGTCATGCTCCCCATCACGCAGCGTGGTGCCGTCCGGTCGCATCAGCTTCACAAAGGCCATGGAGAAAATCCGCTCACTTTTGTCTTTGGCTGGGAGAGACAAACACAGGGCGAAGTGAAGCCGGCTCAGGAGAAACCCGAGGACACACCGCGTGGGCAGGGAAAGATTGCCCTTTCCCAGCAGCCGGAGCGGGTCGGGGAGGGGGCTGCCGGGGAAATCATGTTTCTTTTCCTGGAGCCCAGAGCCCACAGGCTGTGCCCACACACAGCGAGACCCCCGGGGCACTCAGGAGAAGTGGTTGCTGCAGCTGTTTGGGAACCTTGGAGGGGGAGAGAGGGGAGAGACGCAGTGATGAGCCGATGCATGGCCAGAGGAGCTGCCGGCCGCCCACGTGTGCTGCCCGGGCAGGCAGCCATCAGAGAGCTGCCTCTGCGGGAACAAGACAGGCTTGGGGCAGGCAGGGTTTGGGGCAGGTAGGGTTTGGCTTGCACAGGATGAGACTGCCGAACAGCAGCCTCAGCTGCAGGTCTCTGCAGTGGCCCTGGGGAAGGTCCCCGCAGTTGCAGGATGTGCTGCACCGTGTCTCATCATGTATGGTTTTCAGCTCTGTGAAGGCACTGACCACAGCAGTCCTGCTCTGGGAGCAGCCCATCCTCCTGGCCACATGCCGCAGCCCACGGCCCTGCTGCAGCCAAAAGCCACGGGATGTGGAGTGGGTGCTCCGGAGAGCCAAGCGCAGGCACCCAGGGAGCGGCTGTCTGCAAGAGGCAGCCGTTTCCCAGAGGTCTGCTGCCTCACCACGGGCAGCAGGTACAGAGCAGAACAGGGGGGACAGCTTCCTTCCTCCAACACGTGAATCCAGCGTCCCTGATGTATCCCCACACGGTGCGAGAAAAGGGCCACTCGTGGGGCCCCCCTGTTCCTCCAGC